TCACAGTGCAGTGCAGGTGGAAGGTCATCCGGACCGGGAGCTCGGTGGCGCTTGAGAGAACATATGCAGTCGTAAACCTCCGAGGCCGGGTTCCACGCTGCTGGCTGGTGGCCACGACAGTTGTTGTTGCTCGACATAGGGCAGCACTAGGTCCCCTCCACCCACTCTCTTGTTTTCACTCTAGGGCGAACCTTATGGTTGTACCGCAGTGAAGCATCAGTGTCAGCAGAGATGTTGCTGTCGTTGATGATGATGATGGTTGGGTGTACCAGTAGCTTGTTCACGTGCAAGCTGACTGCGACGACTAAGTCACGCAGCAGTCAATCCTTTGAGTCATTCATCACCCACCGGTGCTCTCCTTTCGTAGATGCAAGTCCAACAGACCGTTGAAACACCAGAGCATGACTTGGACCTATCATTTCCTTGGGGTTGTTCTGCACATCATTCACGCGTGTACACAGTGACTGACGAGTGCAGGTTCGTCGTCCTGGGTGGAACCAGCCTCACAATGGCCAGGTGTCATTCGTTTTAGTGACACACACAGCCGTGCAAAACTCTCCATGCGTGAATTAAGTCATCCTGTATCTGCCATAAACCGACAGGAATAGAATGTGCCTTGGAAGGTAGCCCGGATATTATCGTTTATTTTTTAATAACGTGGTCACAGAAATAAAAATAAATGCAGTGGGTGAATTTGGAAGGATTATAAGAGAATACTAGATAAGAAGAGAGAAGCGTCTCATTCGAAGTCATGCCACCAACAGTTCCAGTCAGACATGATGAATCCTAACGTGTGTAAGAATATTTGGTATGGTAACACGCGTGTAAAGTCGAACAACCGACGAAAGGACAAACAATGCTGGATGCTCTTCAAGGCGCGCTAAGCGCGTACACACTCAAGGCTCGCCAATCAGGCACAACGTGTCCGTCATACTATTAGTGTTCTCTCTTGTTAACAACAAAAGCCACTAGATAAATCAGAAGGCTAGAAAGTGACACTAATAAAATTTGTTATAAGAGTGTTGGGTTACAACACCTTAATTGAGTCGAATACAATACCAAAAATGGAATGTACAAATGAGGGACTTATCGTTCTGAGCGGAAGTTCCACCGAGTTGGTTTGGACGCAGGTAATCGTGTTTCTTTCGTCAGATTCACTGCTACACGTTCCTAGTTGTCCGCGGTTGTTGTTGTGTCGAGCCGGTCTGTGTTCCGACGCGCGAGCAATGCGTGTGTGTGCTTGATTGTGTTCTGTCCTTTATATAGGTCGTTGCAATGAGTGGGACTTGAAAACAACGTGAAATCACCTGGTGTCGTTCAAAAGGTCATGGCACGGGAGTTGACATATTGTCGTATTCATGTCACGATTTTGACGCGTGATTGTGGGACTGACGAAATGGAATGGGGGGGGGTAGTAGGTACCGGTGGGAAATTGATTAGAGGAGTAATTAAGCAAAGGGTAAGCGTTACAAATACTCCTCTCTTTAGAGAGGGATCATCTAGGCGCTGTCATCAATCCATACAAGTCACGTCTTGTCTGGTGGTGCACGTTGTGGGATGTGGAACAAAACAAAGCACGAGATAGTGGATGTGGATGCACTAACCAGATGGGCAACCGCTACAGTACTGGTTCTAGTGTGAGATTCACTGACAAGAATGTACACTCAACGGCGTATACCACGCATAAAAGTGTCGTAAGTACGCAGAGAGCTCACAGTGGCAAGCAAACACTAATCACTGACTGTGACCTTATGGAGTTCCAGTCCATTAACAGTTTGAGCAGATGCTGTAGGTGGTTGAAGACTGTTTTTTTCTTGAAAGTAAAGGGGATGCCCCAAGATGTCACGGTGTTTGTCGCACCCAGGGGAGTGATGATTTTCTCAGCGAATCGAAATGGTTCGACTGAGACTGTTGTCGCCCATGTTTCCTGTCACCACAAATAACCATCACTCTCGTCTTTCGGGCGTTTATCTTCATACCAGCTCTTCCCAACTCGACCGCAGCAACTTCAAGCTTCTCTTTAAGGTGATCCTGGCTTTCTGCAC